TCCCCCCTACCTTAAGCCCTAAACCATACATAGCCCTCTGCCTTAGAGCCTGAACTCAGCTAGAATTGTAGCCTTGAGCCCTAAACCCTGAACCACCGGAACAAACAACAAGCCTTAAACCCTAGAGCCTAAGCACCCAGAAAAATACCCTGAAAACCCTCGCCCTTCCCCCGAGTCTCGGCGCGATGAAGCCCGGGGGTGCAGCAGTTTTCAACCTCGGCAACCCGGGCCGCCAAGGCAAAGCCAGACGGAAAACCTTCCGAGATTGTTGTTGGGAGTTTGGGGCTTGAGGGTTTTGGGGGGTTTTGGGAGTTTAGACTTTAGACGATTTAGGGGTTGGGGTTTTAGAGTTTAGGCTCAGGGTCTTTCAGGGCTTAGGATTGAGGGTAAGGGCTCCGATGCGAGGGTTCTAGAAGGGTTCTTGGTTTCAAGGTGGCTTTGGGGGTTTAGGGTTTAGGGTTTAGGGTGGCTTTGGGGCTTTCGGGGTTTATAGGGAGGGAGCTGCGTGCACAGCTGGCGGCACCTTTGCGTACAGCTGGTTATTTCTGCTACTTCCACACGCATTGTAGTGCTTTGCAGGTTTTATCAACCCCAACCCTTGTTCTGCTTGCTTGAGCTTTCAACGGAGTTTCTGGGCTTTCGGGTCTTCGCATGAAGTTTAGAAGAATTCTAGGGGCTTTGATGTAGGGTCCGTGCTTAGAGTTTTGGGCTTAGGGTGGGATCCGGCTTTGGATTTGGGGGCCTGGTCCAGCAAGGGTTTCGGATTTTGTTTGGTGATGGTGGGTCCAGAGGTTCAGGAGTTTGGGGTTCTGCGACTTCAGAGGTTCTCGCAGTTTCGCAAGATGGCCAGGTGCAGGGTTCTAGGTTTCTGCTGTTCAGGGGTTCCGTCATATAGGTCTTGCAAATGGAAGAGTTAGGGCCCTAAGAATATCATCCCTGGAAGCTAGGGCACGATAGTACTAACTTTTTTCAGACCAAGAGCTCCTAGCCTAACTGATCCGGCCCCGAATTAAGATGGCTGACCCCGGAAACTTAACGACAAGGTCTGCCGGGCTTAACGGTCCATCGTTAGGCGCTGCAGGGTGTTTCCGGGTTGCCAGATGCCGATGACGATCCCTAAACCCTAAACACTGTTTATCGTATGTATTTCAACCTTATATGGATGTGTTGGGACATGTTTTTCGGTTTTTTTTATATTCCAACGAAGCCTGGCCTTGCGCTGGAATCTGGCGATTTCTTGTCGTCAGATTCCCACGAAGATATCTATTCTAGGGCTTAAGGACTGTATCGGGCTATTCTGCATCATCGGGTTTGAGGGCTACTCTGGCTGTATCATAGGGTTTCAGGGCTAGTCTGGTGCTGCATCATAGGTTTTAAGGGTTATTCTGGGGTCGTCTCGTGGGGTTGGAGGGCTACTCTGGCTTGGGGCTTAGGGTGGGGAGTTTAGGGCCTGGGCTTGGGGCTTAGTTTTGCTTAGGCTAGGGTTTAGGACTAGGGTCTTTGGGATTCAGCATTTAGGGTCTAGGATTTCAGGCTTAAGGTTTAATAAAAGTATAATGGTTTCGGATGATTTCCGGAGCCAAGCTCGACTAGAAATGCTCGATCTGAAGCTGCTGAACCCTAACTCAGCGGCAATCTTCCTTCTCAAGCTTCCAAATCGCTTGATCCCCAGCAGCCAGGGTTCTCAAGGCGAATTGAGCAGCTAGGCGGTTCTGCTGGGTGGGGTTTAGGGTTTAGGCTTAAGGGGCATCTCTGAAAGCTCCTAACTAGAAACGCCAAAGCCGAAGAGGCATGTACTTCGTTGCAGATGGTGGCAAAGTTTGCCAACTGCTGATGAGAGTGTGCCGCGGTCTGATAACGGGGGAGGGGCCGTTTAGGGCATTTAGGGTTGAAGTAGGGTTTAGGGTTTAGGAGGACATCGTCACACTTGCGAAGCCCTGCAATTCTTGAACTCATTGCGCCCGAATATCACTACCTTCAACGATCCGAGTCGATGTCCCCCATTGAACCTCGGTTCCAAAACCCAAGGATGAGCCTAGAAGTCGAAGGGATAAACGCGAAGCCCCCTGCATGCGTCCTCAACTGGCTGTGAGAATCGCTGCTTTTTAGGGGCACTTGGAAGCGATCAAATCGTTCACTCGTCCTCGACGGACTGCCCGAAGCCCTAAACGACACCTAACCCTATAGTAGTCAGTTGTTGTAGTTGGTTTTGAGTCGTGCTTCGGGGTTCAGTCGAGGTCTGGGCAAAGAATTACACTTCAAAGAACGTCCTTGAGCCGTACTCCCTGGACTCAAAGCCCAAGAGTCCCCCTCCCGAAGACAAGCATATGGGTAGTTCTGTAAGATGGGGTCCCTATCTGGACTGGTATATGTACACTTACATAAAATGACCCTTTAAAAGGGATGTCGAGTAAGACAAATACACAATAACGGGGACCTGCGGTCGGGCTTGATCTATTCCCCAAACACATTCTAAACCATGAACCCAAACCCTAAACCGCAGAACTCTGATTTTGATGGGGGCGGCCGACAGGAACTTTATGATGGCCGAGAGTGCCGTCACCCCTCCGACGCTCTCCCAGGAACTCCCCTTGGATGCCGAGAAGCCAAGTGCCTGCAAGATCTTGTTTCTTAAGTGCGTCCCCAGTCTAGTTTAAATATGTAGACGCTGAAGTTCTTTTCAAGAGTAACCGTTGATAAATAGGAATAGACGCCTTTCAACTTTGTGTTTCAATGGTTGAAGTGCCTTTCACTCTGCCAGGGAAGCGTTCAGACTTCCAGAGTAATGCGGTTTAACGGTATACTCATGTATACTTCTGAAACTGCAGCGTTTAACAATTTCAACATGTTCTCAAGCCATATGCCAACTGCTAACAAGGAAAAGCCATGGCTTAGCCAAATATCCTCGTCGTCCGCGTCGTTGTCGTCGTAGTGTACGTAGCATGCATAGTGGTAACTAGCGGCAGCGGTGCTAAAGCGGGAGCGGCAGCCGGAGCAGGAGCATTGGTTATAGTGGCAGCAGCAGTCTCACGTGCAATAGTTGCGGTAGTTAGTAGTATTCGTAGTCGTGATCGTGGTAGTCGTAGTCGTAGTCGCCTAGTCGTAGCATAGTCGTAGAAGAAGAAGTAGTAGTAGTAGTAGTAGTAGTAGTCGTAGTCGTAGTCGTAGTCGTAGTCGTAGTCGTAGTCGTAGTCGTAGTCACAGTAGTAGCAGTAGCAGTAGCAGTAGCAGTAGCAGTAGCAGTAGCAGTAGCAGTAGCAGTAGCAGTAGCAGTAGCAGTAGCAGCAGCAGTAGCAGTAGCAGTAGCAGTAGTAGTGGTTGTAGCAGCAGCAGCAGCAGCAGCAGCAGCAGCAGCAGCAGCAGCAGCAGCAGCAGTAGTAGTAGTAGTAGTAGTAGTGGTATTGGTAGTTGTCGTCGTAGTAGTCGTAGTAGTCGTAGTAGTAGTAGTAGTAGTAGTAGTAGTCGTCGTCGTCGTCGTCGTCGTCGTCCTAGTAGTAGTAGTAGTAGTAGTAGTAGTAGTAGTAGTAGTAGTCGGCGTCGT